GTAGCTTTTACCCTTAAACAGTAAGGAAAAGTAAGACTGCCAGAGTTGCTTAGTAATAACTGTTACACACACCAGTATTGGGAATGCTCCATTAGCCCTGTCACGCCATTCCCTGGGGGTTGGAGGAAACAGAACTGGGAGCCATGCTGATCCAAATGACTTGTGATTTGTGGTGCAGAATCCAAAAGAGCCCACCACATCTGAGCTGACTGGTCCCCTCCAGTTCTCTCCCAATTGGGACACAGACGTCTTAAGGAAGTCAGATTAGCAATCTGATTAGCAATCAACTAGAGCCAGGGCCTTTTCAACACTGGCTCCAGCCCGGTGGTACACTCTGTCTCATGAGACCAGGGCCCTGCAGGATCTGATTTCTTTCCACAGGACCTGTAAGACAGAATTGTTCCACCTGGCCTTTGGCTTGGAAACAACTTGATCCCCTCCCCCTCTTTCCTCTTTTCTCTTCCTGTGATGGAACTCCTATTTGGGGACTTCCCTGGCTTTTTTCTGGCCCACATAGGACCAGTCTGGCTAGTTGGCCTAGGTGAAGACTTGATGTTTTCATCCCCAAAAAAGTTTTTGATTTGAGTTCCTACTGACATGAGGCTGCATTTTACTGTTTTAATGTCACATTTTAATCTTGTTTTTAAGTTGTATTTCAATCAATTGTTTTTATACCTGGTGTTAGCCGCCCTGAGCCCAGTCTTGGCTGGGGAGGGCAGGGTATAAATGAAATTTATTATATTATTATTATTATTATTAGGAATGAAAGGGAGGCACATGAAGAAATGATGGAGACGACACAAATGGACAAGCTCAAAGTAGTGACAAATGAAGAGCAAGAAAAAAATGACAGATGGGGTTGCTGTGCATCAAGAACAACGACAACAAATCATCTGCTGCGAGAAGGTATCAGGATGATACCTTGCAAAAGAACTCAGTGTGCCTTGTTTCATTCCAAGACAGGCATCAGTCTTCCAGTGCTCTTCTACATATTTTAAAAGGTTAATATCCTTTAGGATCTGGAGGTCTGAAGTTCTCATTTTTATTAACCAACTCCCAGATCTGCTGGTTTCTAGCTGCACAAACATATCCAGGAATATTTTTGCAGACAAAACCCCCCACTAATGCAGGACTCAATAATTAAGCAGTTTGAGGAATGCCAGAGAATTCAATGAAATTCGGAAAAGAAAAGGAAACTTCAGTAGCCCCTGCAATTTATACTCAGGGGTACAAAAAGAGAACAGCAATTATTTACTAATCTAGAACACAAAAAATCAATACCAATAGGCTTTGCCCTTACAAAACAGGTTTGTGAAGTCTTCCGTTTCTCTGTGCTACAGTACAGTATCATTCATTGTTGGGTCCATTTAGCATTGTTTGCCTAAATAAAGCCATGTGCTTTAGTCATTCTCAAACAGTTGGATTCCAGCAGGCCTAAAGAATTATTATTTTTAAGGACACTTAAATGAAGCTGTAATTGGAACAAGTAAAACATTCCAATTGCTACCAAAGAAACAGGAGGGTTTCAAAGAATTTCTCAAAACCCACATCTCTCAGTACTAGCATTTAAGCAAGATTGATGATCACATCTACGGGCTTGTGTTGCAGACACAATTCCACTGCAATACAGAAATTAATGTCCCCCTGCCAAATGTACGTAAATGCCCAAAGCAAATGAAACTCAGGTCCATTAATTACAGTACACAGGAGCCATCACTTCTGAGCAACGATTACAGATAGCATTTAATTCAGGATAAGATGTCAAATGTTTTTCACCCAATACCCATCCTTTAGTCTGCTCTTCAGAGGCCAATTCTACCACAATTACTATTATTATTTTATTATTTATACCCCAATCATCTGGCTGGGTTGTCTTCATCAAGCTATGTTGTCCACTGACCTTATACTTTTTCCACATTGTTCTCCCACCCTCAGTAAGCCCATTAATTGTCACAAAATCAAGAGGAATGTATTGGTGGGGCAGAAAATAAAAATGACTATCAAGGTAGTCACTTTGCGGTATAATTTGGGAAACCCCAGTCAAAGCAGAAAAGAGTCCCCCGTTACGCCACTGACATACAGTAATCACAAGAGTCACAATAAGGTACTTTCATAACTCTTGCTAGCAGCAGCACACCAGACAGTCAAGAGAATAACACCACATTGCCCCAAATAATAAAGCCTCGAATGACAATCTAGTGGGCGTTATAGAGAAAAATACCATTAAGTGGCTCCCTCCAAACCAAGGTTTTCTCTTCATGGGCACCATTTTAGACTATGATGGAGGAATTCACGTGGAAAATGCTACGCCAGGACTGAAAATACTTCTGAACTTCTCCTGATACCTCCAGGAGCTGGCAAGAATCTAGAAGAAAGAGAAAGTTGCCTTCGACCGAGAGAGACCATTGGTCTATCCGGCACAGCATTTTGCCCACTCAACAAACGCACACCTCACTCTACGCTGATTACACTGACTGGAAGCAGCTCTCTGAGGATGAAAATGGGAGTCTTTTGCAGCCCTATCCAGAGAGGCCAAGGTTTGAACCCGAGAACTCATTCTGTATGCAAAATATGTGATCTCTCGTTGAAACATAGGACTTCCCCTAGCAGCCTGCTCACAGATCTTTCCAGCAGTGGCGTAGCGTGAGGGGTGCAGGGGGGCCCGGCCGCACCGGGCGCAACATCTGGGGTTAGGGCAAATCCACGGGTTAGGGGGCGCAAATCCACGGGTTAGGGGGCGCAAATCCACGGGTTAGGGGGCGCCTTGCCCCGGGTGCTGACAACCCACGCTACGCCACTGCTTTCCAGAGAAGGTGTTCAGATTGGACATGAAATTTTCCTCAACTCCTCAAATCTGTTGTCGAAAAGCATTCACCTGAAGACTAATCTCACACAGAGATCTGGCCCTAAAAAAGAACTGGGGTCCAATTTAACTCAAGGAGATGGAGCTGAAGGGAAGGATGAGGAGAAAGATGAACCTATGTTAGGGATGGGAAGCCCTGTACTCATGCAACACACCATTCAAAAGTTGTTTATGTTCAGGGACACCATAAAATAAAAGACCTTTCAAGGAAGTCAGCCCCACTCCCTTTTGCAACTAAAGGATGCTACATTTGAAGAAGCTCATCCCTAAATAATGCTTGGCTAGTCAGATACAATTCTGTTCCGTTTTATTGGAGTGTCAATAGCTTCATTTCACTGGGCGACGGTCTCTTAACACACAGTTGCACAGGGGACCCAAGCAAAATGGATGTCTTGTTGCCTGGAGCAATTTCGACTCTATTATTTCCCTTAAGCATCTTGCTTTCAATCACCTGCTTTCCAAAGGAAACCATGTATCACCTTCAAGAGGCACAGAGAGATGCTTAAGTAGAAGGAAAACAATGCCGGTCTCAGCAGCTGGAGATAATGCTGTGCCCATATTATAACAAAGTATCAGCTGACTAGAGTTGTTGCAACTTGGTGAAGCTGTTATAATAAACAAAGGCACATAAACCCCTGAGGCTACCACTGAATAAACAACTTGCTCAAGAGTAAGACCTACTGAATTCAAGCAGCACCAATCCACCCGGTCCCCCAATGTTCAGCCTTTCCAGTGTAATATCTCCAAATTTTGTTCTGTGCTAGCCTAACCTCTAACTGCAATGCTATACATGTCTTAGGATGTCAGCCCCATTCAATTCCCTGGGACCTCCTCCCAGGTAAGTGGGTACAGGACTGCAAATGTAAAGACTGCAGTCCAAAAAATACTAATTAGGAACTGTGCCCCACTAAACACAGCGGGATGGGGGACAATAGCTCCAGGCACACGCTTTGCAGGCAGAACAGAAGGTCCTCGCTTCCTTCCCTGGCATGGCGTAACCAGGAAAGGCTTGAGAGCCGCTGACTGCCTGTGTCAACAATACCAACGGTATGCGTCTGGCTATAAAACAGATTCCTATGTTTCTATATCCCGCATTTAACAGCACGGGGATTACGCTGCAGGGAGCGTTTCCTTCCGGCTTTCCGGCTCCACAGCGAGCAGCAGAGTTGACGTTTCTTGAGGAATCCGCGTTACACGACCGCCGAGACTTGACCCCACCAACCCAGCCGTCTGCGCGCCTGGCCGGGAGCTGCGTGCGCTCGGAGAGCTGCTTCCCAACCCCCCTTCCCGGCTCCCGATAACTAGGAAAGAGCGGCTCGACCTGTTGCAGCAAAGGCAGAGCGGCAACGCCATCCAACAGGCAGCGGTTGCGCGCACAGGCATTTCTCAGCACAGAGGGGAAGAGTTTACTTCCCGGTCTCCGCGCCGTGTGACCCACTGACACAAAACATACTGCAGCCAGAAAGAAAAGGAGGGGGGAGCTCGATCTACTGAAAGACCAGGTGGAAGAAGCGAGAAGATCCTGCGACCCACTGTGAATCTCTTCTCCCCGCTCACCGACCCCCAGACATGGACGTGGGCAGGGAGAGAGGGGGCAGCTGCCCCCCCCCAATCAAGTAAATAAATAAATAGAAATAACAAAATAGAAATTGCAGGCAATTTTTGACAGATTTGTCTGACTTGAAGTCAAAAGAAAGTAATTTAAAACAACTGTTGGTGAGACATTGCATTGGGAGTCTGCTAGACAGAGGATGGTGACAGGTGCGTGACCTGCCTCCCCCCCCCCCCACATAAATCCTGGCTACTTGTCCCTCGCGACAGAAATCCTGGCTCCCAGAACCCAGAAGTTATTGGGAACCGCTTCGCTGCGCGGAGATCTTCCGGGCACGCATTGCAATACAGGCGATTTGCAAGCAGAAGCTCGCGCTACCAGTTGCATGCGATGCCTGCAGTTTCCTGCTCGGGAGGTTGAAAGTGGGAGGGGAAAGTGGCTGGAAAGGGAAAGTCCTCCCGCCCGCCGGACCTATCCCCCCCCCCCCTAGCCAAACCACCCGCCGCTCAGAAGGGGCGGAATGGGAAGCATCGGCGCGTCCTGCGGCCGAGTCCGGCTGGCGCTGCGCTCCCCGGCGCGCCTCACCTTCTGCTGCCGCCGGGCCATGTCGGTGGGCTGCTTGGCGTTGAACGGGTACGCGATGCAGCGCACGAATGAAGGCGTACAGCTGCAGCCGGAGCCGCTTCTCGCTCTCCTCCTTCTGTAGCCGCTCTTGCTCTTCCCTGCCTTCGCTGCGCACCGAAGGGCTGGGGCTCGCCGGGCGCCCAGACGCGCCACCACTGCCGCCGTCTCCAACGCCGCGGTTCCCCGGGCGCCCGGGCTCTCGGTGCGCGACAGGGAGGGTGCGCGGGGAGCTGGCCGCCGCCGCCACCACCAGCACCTCCCGCCGGTCTTCGTCCAGCACCTCGTCCGACTCTTCTTCGCTAGACGACGGGTCCAGCATAATGGTGCCCGCTCGCTCCCCGCGGCCGTTTGGAGGCGAGAAAGAGCGCCGCGCGCAAAGGCGCCTGCAGCTGCCCGACCAGCGCGCACCTTTCCGGACACGTCGAGCTTCCACGCCCGACTATTTCCTACCAGCGAGCCGCCGGCGGCAGCCGTGAGAAAGAGAAAGAGAGAGAGGAGGAGAGGCGGAGTTTGGGGGGAAAGGGGTCGAGCTTGGGCGCTGTTTTCCACCGGGGATCCTATCAGAGCCCGCGCTGGCCTGTCACTTCTCCGACCGCGGCTCCGCCTCGCCGACAGCAGCGGCGGCGAGACGCACAGGTGGGAAACCTGTAGCGCCCACAACAAGCAACACGTGGAACAGAAGGCGAAAGGCGCGCCGCGCCAGGCCAGACAAGCGAGCCGAGCCAAAGACCATTTCTCTTTCTCAGTGAGCAGGATCAGCCACGAGCTTTCGGTGCTCCCGGGCCCTGCAGTTGCCCACCCTTGCTGCTTTTATAACCCAGCAGCTTTATACAGTGGTACCTCGGGTTAAGTACTTAATTCGTTCCGGAGGTTCGTTCTGAACCTGAAACTGTTCTTAACCTGAAGCACCACTTTAGCTAATGGGGCCTCCTGCTGCCGCCGCGCCACTGGAGCACGATTTCTGTTCTCATCCTGAAGCAAAGTTCTTAACCTGAGGCACTATTTTTGGGTTAGCGGAGTCTGTAACCTGAAGCGTATGTAACCTGAGGTACCACTGTACTGTACTGCAGCTGCATGCCACTCGCCTCCCCAGCGAGTAAATCAATAAAAAGACTTAAACTGAGGTTTGCCTGCCCCCCCCCTCCCGGAACATAAATCCTGGTAACGCCCATGTTTACACGGGGGGGGGGGGAGTCTGCGCCTGCATGATAGAGATCTCCTCCCCCCCCCCACCTTAAATACAACTGCAGGGCTCCGTCAACTTTGGATAATATTTCTCATTGCAAAAACTACTTGAAAACCATAAGCCACAGGATGCTTTCTCCTTCCTCGGGGAAATTGGGGGGGTTTTTTGGGTGGGGGGAATCTAGGGGTTCTGGTAGGCAAGGGTGCATGGGCATAGCCAGGGGGCAGCTCCCCCCCTAAATCAAATAAATAAATAAACATACTTAACAGCCTCGGTCCAGTATACCTGAAGGAGCGTCTCCACCCCCATCATTCTGCCTGGACACTGAGGTCCAGCGCCGAGGGCCTTCTGGCAGTTCCCTCATTGCGAGAAGCAAAGCTACAGGGAACCAGGCAGAGGGCCTTCTCGGTAGTGGCGCCCGCCCTGTGGAACGCCCTCCCATCAGATGTCAAAGCGATAAACAACTACCTGACATTCAGAAGACATCTTAAGGCAGCCCTGTTCAGGGAAGTTTTTAACGTGTGATATTTTACTGTATTTTTGGTTTTTATGGAAGCCGCCCAGAGTGGCTGGGGAGGCCCAGCCAGATGGGTGGGGTATAAATAATAAATTATTATTAATTATTATTATTATTATTATTATTATTATTAACTAACGGACCAATTGCATCTCAGGTAACTCTGTTCTGCCACCCCGTAACAAAAAGCCTGCCCCTCTAAAATAAACCCTGGCTATGCCTATGCTAGGGTGCCAACTTGAATAAAATACGGGGGGGGACCAAGCCCTGCCCCCCCACATGATGGTGCAAGGACACTTTTTGAATGGCAATGCCCAGCAAAAGGGGGGGGGCTCTAGACCGGTGGTATTTATTATGAGAGCCAATCCACTTCCACAGCAAGTGGTCACCATGTTAGATTTCCCAAGATTCAGTGCCTGTCTTCAGCGATGGGAGTGCTCTGCTCCCCTAATAAATGCCACCAGCTCCAGGTATGGGTGTAGCCGGGGGGGGACTGCCCCCCCTAAATCAAGTAAATAAAGATACTTAACTAAAAGTAAAAGTTGTAGAAAGATTCTGACACATTTTTCTGAGCGCTTGGGGTCAATAGAAAGTAATTTAGAACAACTGTTGTTGAGATATTTCATTCCGAATCTGCTAGACAAAGCTAGAGGAGGATAACAAGTGGGTGTCCTCCCCCCCCCCCCCGGAACATAAATCCTGGCTAGGCCCATGCCTATAGGTAGCATAGTAAACAGAGATGAAGAGAGTAGTGGAGGCAGCTCTGACAACCCTAGTACTATGTGGGAGCCCATGCTGGAATTTGCCCCAGGGCCATGGGCGTAGCCAGGGGCGCAACTGTCCCCCCCAATCAATAAAAATCAATACAAATCTGAGGTTCTCCTCCCCCCAACAAAATCATGGCTATGTCCATGCCCTGGGCAGCACCTTGTTGAGGGCACTAAAAGGCACTGTGGGTTAAACCACAGAGCCTAGGGCTTGCCGATCAGAAGGTCGGCAGTTCGAATCCCTGTGACGGGGTGAGTTTCCCATTGCTCGGTCCCTGCTCCTGCCAACCTAGCAGTTCAAAAACACAAAGTGCAAGTAGATAAATAGGTACCGCTCCGGTGGGAAGGTAAACGGCATTTCCGTGCGCTGCTCTGATTCGCAAGAAGCGGCTCAGTCAGGCTGGCCACATGACCTGGAAGCTGTACGCCGGCTCCCTCAGCCAGTAAAGTGAGAATGAGCGCCGCAACCCCAGAGTCGTCCGTGACTGGACTTAACGGTCAGGGGTCCCTTTACCACCTTTAAAGCTCACGCAATTATAGTCAAATAAGGGGGAGTGGCATACAGGGCTCTAAAAGTTCAATGTCTAGAAACACAATTTTAAGACCACCATCCCCAGACTTTGCGGGTCTTCTCCAAACCCTCTGCAATCCATGAATCTCAGCTAAAGTATCCATGGCAGATGGCCACCCAACCTCTGCTTAAAAACCTCCAATGAAGGAGGTTGGCCGTCCATTGACATTCTGATGTCCAAGGTGGCTGCCTCACTCCACCTCATGGGCAAGCTGGGCCTGCTTGAAGGGCCTTGGCCCCCTCTTCTTCTGCCAAAGTTGGGGTCTTTCCAGGGTTCCTTCTCAGGTTTCACATATGTACACCAATTCCATTCATATAGAATTACAGAACTGTAGAGTTGGAAGGGACCACAAGGATAATCTAGTCCAGCAGTTCTCAAGGGGTGGCTAACACCCCAGAGAACAGGATCACACTTCAAAACGACCTTGACAGATTAGAGAACTGGGCCAAAACAAACAAGATGAACTTTAACAGGGAGAAATGTAAAGTATTGCACTTGGGCAAAAAAAATGAGAGGCACAAATACAAGATGGGTGACACCTGGCTTGAGAGCAGTACATGTGAAAAGGATCTAGGAGTCTTGGTTGACCACAAACTTGACATGAGCCAACAGTGTGACGCGGCAGCTAAAAAAGCCAATGCAATTCTGGGCTGCATCAATAGGAGTATAGCATCTAGATCAGTAATAGTGCCACTGTATTCTGCTCTGGTCAGACCTCACCTGGAGTACTGTGTCCAGTTCTGGGCACCACAGTTCAAGAAGGACACTGACAAACTGGAACGTGTCCAGAGGAGGGCAACCAAAATGGTCAAAGGCCTTATGAGGAACGGCTAAGGGAGCTGGGCATGTTTAGCCTGGAGAAGAGGAGGTTAAGGGGTGATATGATAGCCATGTTGAAATATATAAAAGGATGTCATATAGAGGAGGGAGAAAGGTTGTTTTCTGTGGCTCCAGAGAAGCGGACACGGAGCAATGGATCCAAACTACAAGAAAGAAGATTCCACATAAACATTATGAAGAACTTCCTGACAGTAAGAGCTGTTCGACAGTGGAATTTGCTGCCAAGGAGTGTGGTGGAGTCTCCTCCTTTGGAAGTCTTTAAGCAGAGGCTTGACAACCATATGTCAGGAGTGCTCTGATGGTGTTTCCTGCTTGGCAGGGAGTTGGACTCGATGGCCCTTGTGATCTATTCCAATTCTATGATTCTAACCTGTGGGTCCCCAGATGTTGTTGGACTACAACTCCCATCATCCCTGAGCTCTGGCCTTGCTAGCTAGGGGTGATGGGAGTTGTAGTTCAACCACATCTGGGGACCCACAGGTTGAGAAAGGCTGATTCTGGTCCAACCCCCTGCAATGTAGTAATCTTTTGCCCAATATGGGGCTAAATCAACGACCCTAAGATTAAGAGTCTCATGTTCTACCAACAGAGCTAGCAAGGCTAGCAAGTACATCATACTGTGGTCAGTGAGACTTACTTCTCAGTATCTTGAGTTCAGGGTGGCCTTTTATTGAAGCAAATGCCTTACTAGACTAGAACTCACTTCATCAGATGCATGAAGCATTATTACATACCCACAAATGGGAACAGAGGAAAGTTTATATAAAAGGGGGGGGGGAGTCTGCAAGAAATACAGCCTAATGTTTCTACACAAAGCCTGAATGTATACAAGAGGAGCACACTGACCACTCAGAGCATCATCAAAGGTATTTCTACCAGTTCTTCCATGGCAATGGAATCCAACCGACCGAGGTATAGAGCCTGGCAAAGACAGCTAGTTCATTTAATTATTTCATCCCATTTATAGCTAGCCTTTCTTTCCCAGTGGAAACTCGAGGCAGCTAATGGCTCCAAAGAAACTGTAAAATCACAAAAAACACACCATAAAAACTGATTGAATCCTGCTGGATCAGCACTCCTGCCTTTGGGTATTAACCATTAGAAATCACAAAGGAAAGAGATGATTGCCGTCACCATGGTCCTCTTTACAGGCTGATCAAAAATGACCCGAGTTTGTGCCATCAAGTTTACTGGCAAAAGTCGCGTCCTCCTGGGTCACTGAAATCATTTGCTGCTCAGTCTTGAAGAAGCTTATGTGGAACTAAGTCTCACTGAATTCAACAGGGCTTGTATCCAAAGTGTGCATATGGTTGACCCCTAGAAACTTGAAGAATGAAATTCAGTGACCAAATGGGGTGGACAGTATCAAGGGGCCATTTACACACAGCTCTCCCAGAAGCTGTTGTCATCGTTTAATGACCGGGAAGGTCCCTAGAGTTGGTCTCAGCTTGCTTTCTGGTACTATACCACCATAAAGTTGTAAATAGGACTATGTTCCTGAGAAGCCACAGGTCACATCCATACCATACATTTAACAGTCATGGAGGATCCTGGGAACTATAGCTTGTTATGATATGATACGATACGATACTCTTTATTGTC